CAAGAAGTCAACTGATCTGGTGCATTGCCTCATTTATTTTTCTTCGTTAAAGCTTTCCTGATTTCCCTTCTTCTTCTTTCCTGTCTCCTCCTTGTTGTCCTGCTCCTCCTCCTTCTCCTCCTCCTCTCCTCTTCCTTCTTTTGGTGTTGAGGATTAAATCCAGGACTTTCCTATTAGGCTACATCCCCAGCCCTGTTTCAATCCATGTCTATAATTTTTAAAATATTTTCTCTATGTTGAATTTAAGCAAGAAGACTGAATTAGCTTCATATTAGCCTTATACTATGAATAGTGACACTTTTATTCTTAAATAAGTAAAAGAAGAACTGATCAAAGTAGAAAGAAAAAGAAAAACAGAAGTAAAACAGAAAATCTCAAGATGTGTAGAAGACTGCCTTGTAGGTCCCCAGAGGGAGGGCCCCCGGCGTATGGGGAGCCACGGGCGGGGAGCGCCGGTCTTTGGACCGGTGGCTCACTGCCTGCCTCATAGGCCCCCGGAAGGAGGGCTTCTGGCCCACAGGGAGCCACGGGTGGGGAGCGCCGGTCTTCCGGCTGGCTAGCTTCCTGCCTCATAGGCCCCCGGAGGGAGTGCCCCCTGCACATGGGGAGCCATGCAGCGGTGAGCGCTGTTGTGTGCTGGCCCTTAGGCCGGCCACCGCTGCTCAATTGAGATCTATCATGACACAGAGAAACAATGACAGAATTGGCCCACCATGCACCGACTGCAGATGCCCACCCACGGACGTGTGTGAATCATTCAAACTTTGAACAACCCCTGGGAATACATGGCATACAATGGGCCACTCTTGCTCCTGCCATTGAGAACCAGAAAGGTCCAGAGCCAGAGGAGGAGCAGCTGCTGAACAAGGACTCAGAGAACATGAGAATGCAGACTAAGCCCACAGAGTCAGAGGTCCTGTGGACTGGGGTTATGAGAGCCGCTCGGGAGCTGTAAAATAGGAGGACCTTGCACAATACCTGCAGAGACTCCCTGGAAACCATTCTTCCCCTGACAGTACAGGCTGTGGTGGAGCTCCGTAGAAGTCTGCAGCAGGATTCCTTCTGCCTATGCTGACAGTTGGGGAGAGGACACTAACTGGTTGTGGGGTCCCAATGCGATGGGAGGCTGGAGAGAAAACACTACAACAAATGGCTTTGGTCCCAGATGGCTCACTTGATTTTTGACAACCCTTAGGCTTTAACTACTTGTTAGATCCTTCTTGTGTATCTCTGTCTTCCTGAGAAACCACTTCTAAGATACCACCATGTATTACAGCAGTCATTGGTACTTTCCTACTAATCTATCCATAACTCTGTAATGTTTGTATTGTTCTTATCCTATTTCATAAATGGATCCATGTTTATTATTATGGGTTTCCTACAACAACCATTGAGAATTATTGAATGATTATTCAGTAGGTCACTCATGTGTAGTTCTATTTATATTCTTTAGAAGCCACTTTGAAGATACCTAGGTATAGTACAACAACTATTGATAATCTCCTACCTCTTTTGTCTGTAACTCACTATCATTTGTCTATTTGTTTTCCTGAGAAACTATCTTGCAGATAACAATATGTAAAACAATAACCATTGATAATTTCCTACCATTTTGTCTGTAATTTGGTAAGCCCCCCCTATTATTATGCTATCCTTCTTTTACTCTTTAAAATTAAAAAAAGATGTGTAGAAGATGTAAAATAAGAGTAGAATCAGGCTAGAGTAGAATCAGTAGTATCAGTAATAATAGGTATAAAATAATTTATACCATTTATTGAAATATGGTAATATAAAATCTTTTAAGATACATAACTTAAATATACTGATACCAAAAATCCTAAAAGAGAAGGGAAAGAAAAAAAATTACACTAGGAAAACAGTAACTAAATCCAGCTTATATAGCAATATTGGAATTAAACAAAATAGATGTTAAAAGAAAGTATTGTTGGAGATCCTAAACATTACTTTACAGAATAATAAAAGGAGTACTTTATAAGGAAATGCAATAATCCTGGGCCTTTCTGTTAGATAAAGCAAAATTTGACATAATTACAGAAAGAAATAGACAATTCAAATACACAAAAATCAAGGTTATAGAAATCTTGAACAAACACTAAATGCAACTTAACATCACTGAGCTGCTAATCATGCCATCTGGATCCTACCCTTTTTATAGATCCCTAGTTATTAGAGATAATAAACTTCCTAATTTTTAAAGCTCCTTTTGATGAAAGTTGATACCTCCAGTGAAGCATACTAAGCGATGCACTGTCATGGGTCTTACCTCTCCAGCACTTTGGGCCTTAGTATTTAAAGGATTCCCTTTCTTTGCTATGCAAAGTTCAAAACAAAAGGCAAACTTTCCAAGACTTCTCTAAACCAGAGACAGGAGGAGAAAGTGGGCACTTCCTGATCACTATTCATGGACAAAGAAACCCTTCAAGATTCCCAGATTTTATAGGTCTTGGTTTTATTTTCCCATCTCGGCTGAGCACAAAGCCACAGCCCCTGTCCCTGTAATGCTGTTAAGTTTCCATCACCCAGCCCCTTGGGCCTGCATGTAGGTACAGTGCCCTGTGGTCCTTCTCCATGAGCTTACTTGGAATGTCCTGCTTTGGCTCTGGATTTCCCCTGTGCTTTCAGCACTTAAGGGTTTCACTTTCTCTCTAGATGGGCTGTGTGTGTAAATATTTCTGTCAGTTATATTTTATCTGACATTCCTATATCCAGAGGCCAGAGGGAGGGCTGGATTAGCCCAGTCTGCCTTGTTGTCAGATCTGGTCTCATCATTTCCATTTTATAGATCAGGAAGCTGAGACCTTGTTCTACAGAACAGAAGCCATCTAAGCGCAGAGTGACGAGTCTTAAATGCAGATCTTTCCCATCCTACTGGGTGCATATTCTACTCAGTGTAGACTGAGGAGCTAGGAGTTGGTGATATGAATGATGGTGATAGTAGGTTACAGGCATATGTCCCAAATCATGCTATGAACAGTGCAGTGATCAACACTGTAATGATGGACAGTAATTGAAAGTGAGATGGTAGAAGAATAGATTACCTTTCTTTAATATAGCCTCAATGGCAGCTACTATTATTTATCAAACAAAAGCAAGGTTTGTATACGATCAAATTGGTTTAGGTCAGTTAGCAATAGTCAAATGAGGTCTGAGGTGTGAATTATTGTGTGAAGTTTAAGGGAGCATTGGAGAAAGAGATATATAACTTTGGGAGTCATCAGCTGTATGTGTATCTAAAACTGTGGGAATGCATGAAATCACTTAGGGAATGCTTGTAAGTAGGAAAGATAAGAGGCCTAAGAATTGCTTCTGGGGTTGCACAATATGCACACATTGGGGTGATGAGGAGAAACTAGCAAATGAGACGAGGGACTGACAACTGAGGCAGCAAGAAAACCAAAAGAATGGTATTCTAGAAGTGACAAGAAGGACAAAAAAGAGAGCAATGAACTATATTAAATGCTGCTGATAGACTGAATAAGATAAGGCTGAGGCGTGGCATTGGTTTTGGGAGCATGGAAGTCATTAGTGATTTTGATTAGCACAATTTTGGTAGAATGTTGGACATCAGCTCAGTTTGAATGGAATTGAAATAAAAAAGGTGAGAGGAAGTAGACAGCGAGTATATACAACTCCATCAAAGTTTTGTTTTGTGATGATCCTATAACTGGAATGAGATGTGATATCAAGGGAGGATCTGTTTTATAACTCAAGAGATATTACAGTATGTTTGTAAAATGGTGGACATATTCCAATAAAGAGAGAAAAGTAATAGGGAGAGCTGCAATAGGTGTACTGCTGATGTCTGCTGTTTATTGAGAGGAACAGTCAATGCTTAAAATTTTATTTTTTCTTGATCAATTTTGCACGCTTGAATTTGGTATTCAGAATGACTGGTCTGAAAACAATATGCAGTATAAGAACCATTGTTGAACTCCTACCATCTTGTATGGTGAAGTTCTGCATCATTTCCAATGTTTCATTTATTTTATTTTATTTTATTTTATTTACTTGTTACTGTTTTTGATTGTTTGATCAAGTTTACATTCTTATGTCTAGTGGACTGAACAACTACATTGAGCATACCAGTATGTAACATAGCAACCTCTGTAAATTTTTATCATTTTGTTTTGAGGTCATGTATCATTTTTGTTGTTTTTATGTTGTTTTGATTTTGTCTTCATTGTTGTTTTGTCAGTTTTTTAAATTTTTAAAATAAATTTATTTTTTTTTTTTTTTGGTTTTGGTTTTTCTCCGGTACCAGGAACCGAACTCACGACCTTGTGCTTGCCAGGCAGGCGCTTTGCCGCTGAGCTAAATCCCCAGCCCCTTAAAATAAATTTAAAAAAAGAAAAATATAATGATGCAGGAGAGAATATAAAAAATTGCCAGAGCGATGTCCTTTCAAAGGGAAAAGGAGTGGAATCCAGTGCATAAATGGAGAGACTGGCCTTAGATTAGGGGTTCCATTGGAGTTATTGCTGGCAACCACTGGTTTGTGGCAAACTAGGATCCAAGCAAGGCTTTGGGTTGCATTCTGCTCCTAGGACATTAAAAGATCACGAAAAGAAATGCTCACGTTCTCCACCAGAGGCATCATTCATTATCCTTTAACTTTGTGAATGACTCTCTGACTAGCAAGACATTAAGCTGGTCACTTCCTTTTTTTGGCAAGCCGATAAGTTTATCCATACGGACAAGGGAGAGGATATCAGTCAGATACCAGGGATAGGCTTTAACTTCTAGCAACTGGATACATGCATATCTTGGGGTGGGAGGTGTTCTGTGTTCCTGGCCAGTAGGACACCCATCCAGTTATTGAAGGAAAAAAAGAAGCTTAAATTTAACTCTCAAACATGGCTCTTCAGATTTTCATTGTAAGTGACATTATGGGTTGAAAATGAATTAGGTAGCAGATTTATGCTAGACCCTGGGGATAACTGATGAATGAGTACTGGTAAATGAGTGCTTTGTCTTTCCAGAACTCCGAGCACAGATGGGAGTCAAACACCTATTCCATGAAGCAGAGTGAGAGAAGTTCCCAGTTTGGATGTGAGCAAAGGGCTATGGGAGCAGGGGATGGGGTGGGTGGGGACTTGGACTTAACCGCGGAGGAATGACACCTCTCTTGACTGATAGAGTGCGACTGAAAAAGGGAAAGTTTGTGCTGGCTCTGCACTGAGAATGCTCAAACCAGCAGCTTCAAGACTAATTAAGTGAAAAATGATGCAATTGATTTGTTTGCCCCCAGCCAAATGGAACTTGGTCAGCATGGAAAACCAATGAGTTTAAAATTTCTCCACTTTGAGCCTGCAAGATGACTTCAGCACCTTCTCCAACCATGCATGCTGATGTTAAAATGCTGTATTATTTAAATATTTAAAAATGCATAGAGCTTCAACTGGACAAGTAGAACTGTACACACCAAAAGAGTGTAATGGCGGCATTTGGGGTTGGGGAAGCCAAGGTTGAAGTCGGATGTTGAAGAAGTGCTAGGCTGGGTCGGTTTAGTAAGTCACCCTGGTCACGCCAAAGGGGTTTAGTTGAAATGGTAAGACAAGGGGCCACACACAGGAAAAGGTGGTAGTGATTGTTCAGGCAAGAGCTGTGGAGAGAGGGAGAAAAGACATTCCTGAGAAGGTAATGGTACCTATGATCTGTTTTCATTTTTGGTAAGTCTACAGCACAAAAATTAGATATCAACTCTTTTTGTTATAAGGTTTAGAACTTTAACACAAGTAGTTTGCTGAATTTGAACAGCTTGTTACCAACTCCTGCTTTTGAATTTATTTTCAACAATTGTTTTGAATGGTGACAATGTGCTAAGCCCCATGTGTGCTTGGTTTGGGGGTTATAAGGAGGAAAACTACAGAGACTTACCTCAGAGGGGCCTCAGTCTCATCTGGCCCATTGGGGGCAGATATAGGAATCACATTATCACTCGTGCAGCAGAAATGTACCCATGACCTGAGCAATATGCTATGGAAACAGAGAGGAGAACCGCAGCCTAACATTCCCAGTGGATCAGGGACAGACTTGATGATCTTGAAGGATGAGTATCAGCTTTCTAAATGGTGGGTTAAGGGCAAGAAGAAAATGTTATGCATGTACATATGTCAACTCACTGTGTGTCTCAGACTAGCCTTGAGCTTGCAACAATCCTCTTGCCTCAGCCTCCCAAGTGCTGGGATTATAGGTGTGTACCACCATGCCTGGTTTAGAAAGGGAATTGTAGCCAGAGGGAAAAGTGTGTGCAGGGCACAGAGATGTTGTTGCATGTAATGTGCCTAGAGCATGCGATGCAATGGTAACAAGTGTAGACTCAGGAATTATCTCGTGTTCAGATTTTCGATTTTCCATTCTATGACCATGGGCCAGTTATTTAGCTTCCTCTGCCTCAGTGTCCTCATCTATTAAATGTAATTATTGGTAATACTTATATGGCTGCTATGAAAATTAATGATAATGCCTATACATTACTTAAAGCAGTACCTGGCCCATGGTACTGTTAATAATTTGTTAGTTATCATAATATTTGGGAGTTTAAGAAATACTCAAGAGTTTAAGAAAAAAGAGGCATGGGGTGCATGGACAGTATAGCTATTTTTCCCTACTGCTTTTCCTTTAAAGTATTCATGGGTGTCAGCTAATACAGGAGAGAGGGCTCCTGAGTCCAGGCAGTGCTTTAATAAAATTATAGACATTAAATTAACTATGACTTGGAAGAAGAGATTTGAACTCCACAACAAATGGTAAAACTTGGGCTTCAATTCTGGGTATTTTCAGCCCTCCTCTGGATTGAATTGATTAATTTCTCATAAACTGGCACATTTCAATAGCTGGATTCAAATAACATATTTCTCTGTGGAACCATTTCTCACTCTCACTGATTTTAAGACCAAGGCTGGTCTCATAAATTGGAGAAACAATAAAACATAGACCCTGGCCAAGAACAGAGCACTGGGCTCATCGGGCCTTCCTTTCAGTCTCTTCTACCCCAGATTATCTGTAATGACATTGTTCTGGGGAAATCTTGGTCCAGTTGAGACTCCAAGGCATATAGTAATGGAAAAAACTGGAATGAGTTATTATTCACCCATTTGACATGTATATTAGTCTCCTTTTGGTCATCCTATTAGTCACACTTATGAACCTATAGTGTCTGCATTGCAGTGAGGGAATGACAGCATGACCATTATGGGATTTCTGTCTCTTTCTCTCTCCCTGCTTTCTATTCTAGACCCATGAACATTGATCAATTCTTACTAGTGCTGCATAGCTGGTGGAGGGTGTTCACCACACTCATGAACACAACAGTGAATCAAAGAATTATAAAATGTGCTAACCTCTCACCCTGTGCTATGTCCCAACTAGGCACTATGAGGAATAGAGTAGCCACTAATTTATTGAATATTTGGGTTTGTGTGTGCTTGAACACATGCATACATGCTCTGAGTATGCAATATTTTCATTTAATCTTCACCACAAGTCTATGGAGTAGAAATTGTTATGCCAAATTTATTGATAAGGAAACTGATGTCTACAGACTTTAAATGATATATCTGAGGTTATTCAGTTAGGCAGAGGCAGTGTTAGAACTTGTACACAAATATTTCTGACTCTCAAAGACTCCTCCCTTAACCATTCAGATAATATCTCTCTGATGCTACAGGAATGTGAAACTCGGTCTTTGTCCACAAATGAGACATTGTGTTACTTTTTATGAGCTCTTTTAGAGAAAATATCCATAGGTAAAAATCAGCCAGACATTGATCTTGGACTTGTAGCCTCCAGAATGGTTAGAAAATAAATTTCTGTCATTAAATCCAACCAATCTATGAATTTTATTTATGACAGCCAGAGTTAATCACTACAATGTGCAAGGCCCTGAGCACAATATTACATATCCAGTAAGTGGTTGTGCAGAGATCGCAGCTTAGTTATCACAGGAGAGCTTGTGAGTTGTTCATCCTACTCTCAAGCATGGCTATGTTGGGTTGGCACTGACTCTCTTCTCCTTACAAGGGTCCACAGTAACACATGATAATGTACCAATCTACCCATGCTTGTCCTTAAACAGAGATAAAATTTAAATTATATGGAAACATAAGGGCTGAAATGTAAGTCTTCTCAGCCTTGGAGAAACTGTGCATCCTTCTATGCATTCTGTACAGGTGTAATGTTTGCCCTTAGAATGCCACATTGCTTTCTCCTTATTACACCGCATGTGTTTTAGGATGTGGGTTGGAAACATTCCCAGAAAGGCCAGGAACTGATCAGATATCCCTTCTCTGAACAGATTCCCATCTCTTCCTAAGGAGATTGTGTTCAAAGGACAGAGAACCTGTTTTCCTATTTATCCATCAAAAAGGGCCACGGAGGCTTCCTGCAAGAACCACTGACACCAGACTGTGGGACCTCAGAAAGAAAACTAGGTCTTGAAGCAGGCCCATATTGTTAGCTTTCTCCTCTCTCCCAGTATAGCATGAAGGGAGCAGGCCTGGATTCCTAGATCTATATGGGATTCTGATTGTTTAGATGGTGTCAGAGGGCGGGATGTGGCTTAGAAACATATGCAGTACAATAAAACAAGGATGGACAGGCCTGCTGCTTAGGACAGATGATGGAGAGAGACAGATGGACTCATGGGAGCATTTGCATAGACTGCTATAGATTTCCTCCTGATTTAATTGTCACCAAATGACAGGAGGTAGAAAGTTGGTAGTCATGCAGGTTACAGATGATTAAGATCTTTGGAGAGGTAAAGGGAATTTGCAAGGGTTGTTCTTGTGGATATTCGACCCAGTACTTATTCCCTGAGCATCTTGAGAAAAAATGAGGAAGCTTAGAGAATGGGGAAGAATGTATTTAGCAAGAAAAGTGCTCACCTGACTAAGGTGGTTTTAAACAAGAATCAAGGCCATTGAGAAAAATGCCAGGCTATTATGTGTTAAGTGTAGAGGACAAGGAGCCTGATATTGGATAGAGGAGTGGAAGTTCTAGTTCTTTGAAGAAGGAAGAAAAAGAGACTTGTGACCAAAACAATACATATGGCTTTAGACATGCATCTAGCAATGTACAGGCTATGGACGATAAATAAAGAAACATCAGCTTTAAACATGAAGTAATATGGTGGGAAGAAGGCTTGGGCACACAGGAGCTGGATGAGGAAGCAGAATTGTAGAGGTGGAGGCCTCCTACCAAGGAAGCTAAGTAGCCACACAGATGAGGCCTAGAAGGTTGCATCTTGCTTAAGTGTCTTCTCATTTTATATGTATATTTTAAGCTTAATTCCTGGGTTGATCCCTGTAAATTGCTTGTGGCAGGTAGCTTTATCACTAATATTTAGAACCCTCAGGAAATGACTACTTCTCAGAGATGTCTTCCATGTTTAGGTGGATTTTGGATTTTGAGTCTATTGCAAAATCCTATTCTTCAACTTTTTGGGGATGAGAAGTTGCTGCCAACTTGGCTTAACCCCTGCTTCTTTGGCACTGGCTTATGTATTGTTTATGAGCCTTAGGCAATCTCAGTCTTGGTGTACCAGGAAGAACAGCTGATTAGAACAATTATGTCACCTTGGCTAAAGTAGGATGATCAGCAATAACAAGACCATGAACATAGCCTAGAAAATGACAAACTGAGGTAACTATTAATTTGCCACGTTTAACTATATAAACTTATATTTGTGGTTATATAACAAAATCTAAACTGAACCAGTATACAGTGAATATGTCCTCAATATGACAATTTTACACTCAAGGGAGAAAATTTAAAAGGAGTTTGGTTGAAAACAGAGAAATAGAAGAAGAGGAAAAAATTAGAAGCAAATCTGGATGACAAAGAATGATCACACAAACTTTGGGAAACTTATGAGGAAGACAGGAGAGAAAGAGAGAAGGAAGAAATACAAACAAGAACAGAATGGCAACAACGGTAAAACCGGAAACAAATGTTCACATTCATATAAAAAAACAAGAATAAACAATCAAGAAAAAACCAAACCAAACCAAAACAAAAACAGGGAAAAAAATTTTTGTTTTAGAGTGTGTCTCTGCTGTCACTGGTAGAG